CACTGAGATTACCACGGATCTTGGAGTATTGTGTTATATGGGTAAACTGTCAGGAAGCAGAGGAAAGCAGTCCTAGATACACCTGAGATCATGCTGTCCCTCTTTCCTTCCCACAGACGATTTTCATAGTTCTCCTCTTGGAGTTCTACAGTGTTGCTCTGACAGTCTTTGTGTCCCCTTCTGTGTTCTTTGGGATGGATCCTTAGAAGAAAGATCCCTGGTCCCCAGAATGCACGCTTGAGGTTTTCACTAGCATAAGATCCATCCATAGGCTTGGAGAACAGTTGCATTCTCTCCAGCAATGGAGAAGAGTGTCTTTTTGCTCTCAGACTACCCACGGGGAGAGCTGAGAGGAGGTGACTGCTATGTGAGAAACCTGTGGTGAGCATTTCCTGAAATCAGGAGAGTTACATGCTCAGACTAGACCCTCTGCCTGTCTTTGTCTTTGAAGACGTGGTTCCTCTTCCTCTCTGTGTCCTGTAGCTCTGGTTCTAGTTCCACAATGTGGGAAAGGGAAGTCACGTGCTTGGTGTAACCTCAATGTCCTCCTTAAACAAATTGCTTTCTTATAGATCATCCATACTTGGTTAAGTATGGAGACATGTTAACTGCACTATCACATGGAAAGCAGAATCAGAAAAAAATCTATTCCGCACCCAGGATAACTTCCAAGACAGACACCACACAAGGTTTATCCTCCCTCCCCTCTGTAAGGGAGATATAGCCAGGAGCAGGGTGGGGCCTTATAGCTATCACTATGGGAAGGATGGGCCAAATTTTCCTTGGTTTCCAAGGCAGCATTTGTTTTTCTTTGTGGACCAGACAGTTTAAGGCAGTCTCTTTGAATGGTTTCCATGGGAATCCACTTGAGCAGATCAAAGAAGGGAAAAAGGAATTGTGTGAGACATGTAGATGTGGGGTTAGAATGATGATGCCTGGCCCACCATAAACTACTAATTCACAGAAATAAATTGACGACATGGCTGATGAAAGTGTGTGTGTGTATGTATGTTTGTGTGTGTGTGTGTGTGTGTACGTTCACTAAATCTTGTATAATTCCTGTGTGCTCAAGGCCTTTACAGTTTCAGTATACAGTTTCAGTATCCATGAAGAGAACCAAAAGGGGACTACTGTCTTCTGAAGAGCACATTATTTCAGACAAGTAACTTGAATGGCCTCCTGCTCTCCCCAAATGTCACACAGTAGTCTCTTCTATTAATGACTGACATCTTGGAACCGATTCTAGTCTATGCACTTATGAGTACTCAGCCAACCACAATTCTCCCTCTGCAGCTTGATGGGGCAGAGGAAATCCCTTATAGGACGGTGGTAGTTTGAATGAGGATGATCTCCATACGCCTCTTTTGGTGAATGTTTCAATCCCAATGGTGGATGGTTTAAGAAAGATTAGGATGTGTGGCCCTATTGGACGAGGTTTGTCACTGGGTGTGAGTTCTGATGACTCAAAAGCCCTCTGCCTCCTGCCTGTGATCAGGATGTAAACTCTCAGTTTCTGCTACAGTGCCCTGCCAGGCTGCCTGCTGCCATGCTGCCCACAGTGATGGTACTGGACTAACCCTCTGACACTGAAAGTAAGCTCCCCATTTAATGCTTTGTTCTGTAAATTCTCTTCAGTACAGCGCCTCTTCCCAGCAATAGAACAGTAGCTCAGTCAATGTCCTGTGGCTGTCAAGGGACTTGGGGTTCCTGCCTCTTTTCTTCTGTGTTATCTCTTCTTGTAGGGCTCAGGGGATAATTTCTCTTTCAGTATCTAGTTAGTGGCTCCAAAATGAGGGTGAGGTAAAGGAAATACTTTGGAAACCTTCGTGCAACAGAGAAGGGACCCCAAGCTTGGTCTAAATCGTAACGGTGAATACATATTACATCTAAACCATATGCAGACCATATTCATGGAAAAGTACATGGCAACCACACCACAAACACCAGGTTGCTCTTGGAAGTCCCCAGCAGGCATGGTGCAACACAATTGCAGTGACTGACCAGGATACAACTTGCCTGGGAGGCAGAGATCTGGGGACTGTACCACAGCCTCCTGGAGAGGAGATGGAAAGTCTAGGAAATCCATCCATTCCAGTGTCAGGGGATTCAAGGTGACCACCACATTCATATTCTCTACAGAGCACCACTCTGTATCCCGTGTGCACTGCCCACTTTACACTCAGGGAGGATGAAGTGAGTTGTGGAGCACTACAGTTGCTGCAATCCATAAATGGAACTGCTCTAGTATTGTATCAAGTTTCCAAACACACTGAAAACGCATTGCTATTCCATAAAACATCAGCCCCTTTAAAAAAAATAAATGTAGGCATGTAGTTTGAATGCCACCTCCTGGCCATAATGGGGACTACATCAGTGAGAGTCTTGGGCCCAGTGGCGTCTATGTTTGGGTGGGAGGGAACATTGGCTGTGACCTGGACTTGAAGGGACCTTACCTCTGGAGATAAAGCAGTGTTTTTTCACTTCAGTATATTTTCCTGGTACATAAACCTTGACATCTTAGGTATATCAAATGTAAACCCAAGATTGGAGACCAATCCCAGTCTAAGGCTAACATAAAGCAGCCTCATTAGATAGAGATGGTGGAGCTCTGTGTGCAAACACACACACACATATGCACACAGGCATGCACAGAGCATGAGAGTAGATTCCATTTGTCCTTCTACTTCATTGCCCAGAAACGGAACACAATGACTACTTCTAAAGTACAGAAGGTATAAACATCGTTTATCCAGTGTGTCGTTGTGTGCCCGTGTGCATATGTGTGTGCTTCTGCAATTGTATGCATACATGCATGTGGTCAGGGGACAGAAGGCAGCCTCCGGTGTTGTACCTCAGGCGCCATCCCCCTGAAGTTTTTCTTAGACAAGGTTTCTCACTGGCCTGGAACACGCAAGGCAGGCTGGGTTGGCTGGGCAGCACACTCCAGGGATAGGCTTGCCTCCACCTTCACACACAAGCATGTCCCACCACACCTACTACTTTTCCTGCTGTAGTTTAACTTCATTTTCTTGATGATGCTCTCTGTGAATGACACTCAGGGCCTCATGCCCACAAGGCCAGCAATTTATTGATTTAGCTGTCTCCCCAGCCCCACTTTTACCACCCGAGCACAAGCAATTTTCTCAGTTTACACTTTAAAGTACTTTCCTTCCTGGATACGAAATTTCAAACACCACAGGAAAGCACATGTACTACCATAAGGAAATCTGTGTCTGTCGCTGGGCTTATTCCTACCCCTAAGGCACAGGGCTGTCTGCAGGGAAATCTCCAGAGAGTGAGCTATCTGAGTAGAGTCCCAGCCGCCATTTTCTGTGCGCCTTGCTGTATGTGTTGGTGAGGAAGTCACTTCCCCATTTAGGGGATGGTAATCTTTAATGTGTCTGCCAGGGACACACAGGGCTCTGCCTAACATCCAGTGAAAAGAGGATGGTTTCCCATGACAGAACTAAGCTGAAACTTTCCCACAGTGAATGGAATGATAATAGTCCTGCTAACTATTTTGTGTGTTTAGTGCAGAGTCTCAGAGCAGCCCAGCCCAGCCTGGGACTCTTCCCCTTCCTCCCTCAGCCTTCAGAGTGCTGCTGGTCCTCCCAGCTTACCACACTGCCCCAGCTCAAGTATTCATTTTAATGTAAACACATTCTTAATGCTACTGTTTTCTTCTCGGCCCAGTAACATTTTCATTCCATTTCTACATGTATATTGTTGAATTCCCACGAAATAAATAATTTTATCATTGATTTCCCTGCAAAAATTTATTTTATAATGATCCACATCTCTTGAAAAACCATGTACTCTAAGATTGTTTATCTAAGAAATTTCACATTTTCTGAGATATTTCTGGTTTTTGTTTGGTTATCATTTTGAGGAAGGGCCTCACTGTGCTATTAAGGCTGTTCTGAAACTTCTTAGCAGTAATGATCGTGTAACCCCAGTGTTCAAATAGCTGGAAGTGCACGCATTTGCCACCTAACGCTGATGAAAACTGTTCTCATTATTGCCTGGCATTTGACCATTTTTCTTCATTGTTTCATAACAATTATTTTAATTTGTACATAATTTTAAAATGTACATAACTTAATAATAATTACGTTGTGTATATTCCTATGTGTATGTACACATGAATTCCTATGCCTCCAAAGGTCAGGAGAGGTCATACCTTCCTGGAGCTGAGGTATGGTCCTTCAAGGATGTTGGAAATGGATGCTGGAAACTACCTTGGATCCTCAGCAACAATAGAATGCACTCTGAACCACTGAGTCATCTCCCCTGCCAGACTGTAGACTGTTAGATTCCGTTACCATTTATAATGTTCATATTTTAAATTCCACTGTGTTTTCCCCTTGGTCAATGACCTGGAGTTGATGCTTCTTTTTTTTTTCTTGTTTAGATTTTAGTTATACTTTTAATTATGTCTGTCTGTCTGTCTGTGGTATGCACATGATTGGCAGAGGCATTGACTCCTGATGGGGCTAGAGTTAAAGGCAGTTGTGAGCTATCTGCCATGGGGGCAGGGAGCCATACTCTCATAAACAGTAATGACTCTCTTGTCTCTTTCCTCCTCCCTCTACGCCTTGAGTGCTGGTATTACAGGTGAGGGTGAACATGCCCAGAGGGTCAAAGAACACAGAGCAATTTCCATTCTAGGCAATCATTCTGCCACGAGAGCTATGTCGCCAGTCCCCATACTGTGGCTTTTTAAATTCACCAGTGATTTCTTTTCATGGTATAGCATTCTCATTGAACAGCTACCAGAGAAATCAAGAATATAGCTGGGAATGTGTGCACAGCCAGGGGAGCAATAGCAGTGTCTAGGGACCACTTTTAAAAATCCCCAAATGTGCTCCCACCACATTTGTGAAGAGCTTGGGACCGGGCCGTCAGATGCTGGGCAGATCTAAGTGCTGTAGCATCCTCGAGTCCAGCCTCTGACAAGGACATCCTGTTCCTGAGAGAAAGTCTCCTGCCAGCAAACCTACCTTACATGCCCAGCTTCCCAAAGGTCAGCAACAAGGGACTAGAGGCTGTTGTTGTACTGTCTGTGGATGTGTGTGCACAGCCAACGACCCAGACCCTGCAGAAGAATCACAAAACAGGAAAAAGGTTGGTCAAAGAATCAGACACATCCTTAAGCTCAGTGCTGAAGACATAAAAAAAGAAAATTTGGAAATATAGCATAGTGTGTGGAAATAGAAATGACGGAGAAAGAAGAACAGGATTTCCCTTGCACGGAGATGTGAGTGTATGTGTCCTGATGTGGGGCTGTGCCTCCCTAGGAGTATGGGGACAATGATGAAGGGATCCCAGAGATATCTGAGAAGCCGGATTCTGCGTTTGGATGTCTGTACAGCAATGGTTCTCAGCCTTCCTATGCTGTGACGTGACTCTTAATACAGTCCCTCATGCGTGGTGATCCCAACCAGAAAATTATTTCTGTTGCTTCATCATCGCTGTAAAGTTGTTACAGGTAAGAATCACAATGGAAATAGTTTTGGAGATAGACGTTTGCTGAAGGGGTCAAGTCACTGGTTGAACCACTTTTCTAGAGTCAGAGAGATGTGGGACCTTCCTAGCCCCAGCAACTTTGGTTCCCTGAGCCAGGATGTCCTGGACCCATTTTCCAAACAAAGGCTGGGAATTTCTGTGAGGAGAAAACAGAGTGAAACCCTCTGCAGACACTGCTCATGTGCTAAGTTGGGGGTCTTTAGTGATAATACCTGCTTTAAATACCAGTCACAAGTTCCTGCATATGTGACAGACTAATGTTGATATATGCAATTGGAATTACAGGCTGGCCTTGAACTCAGACATCCAACTGCCTCTGTCTTGTGAATGTTTGCTCCATGCCCAGCTGTCAAAAATAAGCATTTCTAAAGGTAGTCTTCTTCTGGAGAAATAGGGACAAACAGTTGCTGCAGAATTTAGAGACTGATTTCACTTCAACTCTGCCTAAAACCTACTCACTTCCTTCATCTGTAAACCTGCCAAGAGCAGTACATGCTGTAGAACAGCCATTTTCAAAAATACACTGAATTTTGGGTTCACTTTTTAAGAGACAAATGTTAGATTCTTATTCTGTTGGAAATTATGCTACAGTTAGCTATACTTAGAAAACTTTACATCTGAAAATTATTCATCAGCAACTCGTTATCAAATTGTTAAGTTTTACAATGACTATATTGGGTATTCAAACTATCCTGTGTCAATACACGTGGAATAACTGATGTCAGTAAATGGAAGCACCGTGTCTCCATGTGGTCAGACAAATCCAGAGATGTTAGAGCAATGTCTCCACAAGGAAAATGCACAGCGCATCCAGGTGCTATCTGCCCTCTCCCAGACAAGGCTGCACAGGGCAGCTCTCCTGCTGATCACTGCAGCATGGCTTCATCCCTCTTTCATACCTCCATCCCTACCCTGTCTTCGGAACCATCTCCACTGTCTCCACACACTCCCTCATTCCGCCCTCCCCAGGCCTTTCTCTGTTCAGTGCCAAGTCACCTTCTACCAAAAGGAAACATATCATGACAATTCCATAACTCACCTTCCACACAGATCATATAATCCAAATGTCATACACAGCTGACAATGACAACATTTTCCTTTCTGTCCTATCCCCAAGCAGTGTCCACGTTGTCTTCAAGGTTCTGGCAACTAGCCTTGTTCTCTGCTCTTAGATCCACTGTTCTCCATGGAAGCAAGCACGCCCACAACTTGGTTTGTGCACGGTCTTGCTTCTATTTGCCATTCAGGACTCAGATCACATGCTAACTTCTGAAACCTTTGGGGGTAACATCACATACGACAATCCCCATCACAACTGTTTCCTGTCCCCTTTATGATCTTTAAAGCGCCAATAATACACGGAATTGCTGTGATTACTGATTTCTTCTGCTTACTGACAGTTTGCCTATCTAACACGATATACAAGGACCCGTGCTAGTCTTCACAGTGCAGGAACAAGGTGTTCACTAAAGAGGCCACTATGTGAATATCTGGATAAACGTACACGAAGGAATTGATTTGTCTATTTGATATGCCATGCAACACACTGGTATTTAAGGCAGTAACAAGAGAACATGGTATGGACTTAAGCAGTCTGTGACTTCATATCCTGGAAGACAGAATATCAAACACACTAGCAATACGTTTTAACATGGACAGCCATCAGAAAGAAGTGGCTATGCCACCCCCCACATCACAGGTATTGATTCAGTGTCTGCTGTGGACCCAGATATCTACCATTTTAATAAGCATGATTCAGTGTCTGTTGTGGATTCAGATTTCTACCATCTTAATAAGCAATCCCTCCAAATGTGATGCAGTCATGCATGGCCCATTCGGGGAAATGGTCTGATGGGGATTGCTTCCATTTCAGTCCTGGTCATTTAAAGGGACCCCTACAGGGTTCAGTCATCTGGGGAGTCTATGAATGCCATTGTTTTACAGTGTGCTGCTCTTTGCTGCGACCTGCTCAACAGGATGTGTTCCTACAAGGCATCACAGACCAGCTGCTGGTCACACAGATGGGAAGAGAAAAGGAAATGACTCACCTGGTGAGTCCCACATGATCTTGTCACTCTACTGTACTGAATATAAGGATGGAGTAGTCTGTCTGCATCCAGTCAAGTCAAAGATGTGCAGTGACATCTTCCTCTTCTTTGTTCATTTCACAGACCCTTTATACACAGCCATGTACACATCACACACACACACACACACACACACACACACACACACACTCACATTGGTGGCAATGATGACTCACATACTGGAAACAAGGGCTCATGTCAGCTTCTTGTCAACATTCTGCGTGTTCTCTCTGCAGTCCTGCTGTTCTTCTCATAGAAGAGACCTGACATTGATAGGCAGAGGACACAAAGTATCACTGACAAGAGGCATTTGCTTTTGGCTTTCTTCCCAGGGGTGGTCAGATAATCCAGAATTCTAGACAGATAACAAATGAAGAGCAGGTCCACTTGAATGTACTCCCACGGGCATGTTATGGGATAATTTAAGCATCACAGTATATAATGATGACAAAGGAGTACTCCTTTAAGAAATGGGTGTTTCTGAGTAGACACAAACGCATGAGTAAATCCATTAATAAACAAAAGATAAAAGAGAAACATTACTCAAAGACAAGCAATTCTTGTATACTAGTAACTGCACAGGGAAGTAGGCATCAGAGCAACACTTAGCAGGCGTCATGGTTATAATAAACATGGAAAGAACCATACATAAAACACCCCCTCTGTACAAGTCCACAGCAACACTGCTAAAATCTGCATGACTGGATGGGAAAACAAGAGGGAAAACACACGAGTACTAAACTTTTCCTTTTTGTGTTGGGGAAAATAATATTAGATATTTTGAAAATAATTACCTAAGTATTCTTCATAATACAAACCTTTCTGGAGTTACACATACATACCTAAGTCTTCACATGTATCCCCTTCTTTCTCTCCACCGTGATCTCAGCACCTCCCTGATGGAGCTAGCTGGGAGGTAAAGGACTATCTCTATGATTCCAAAGATGCCATTGGGGCAAACCTTTGACCTGTGGCTGCCTTAGAAATTTTCCCCCAAACTGGGTGTTGGACATTTGTTTCTGTTCTCATAATTCACTTGCAACTTCAAAGTACTGAATTTTAAACACAGCAAATATATGTTAGCATCAAAGACATTTTCATCATAGAGAATGTAATTAAATATTTTAACCTAAAAGATTCATCAATAACTCTGTCTAAATTTAACACAGACAGCTGACCACAGTGAAATGAATGTGTGGAAGCTGTAATTTAAAATCCCTGTCACTGGAGATAGCATCAGGAAATATGAAATAATTAGGAAAACTCTGCCCACTTCTCTGTAGTGCCTAGACACTGAATGGGACAACTCATTGCTGAGAGTAAAGATGTATAGATTCATCGACTGTGGCGATATTTTGTTTCTTCCATGACAATAAAGCTTGCCTGAGAATCAGTGTGTGCAGATAGCCACTAGTTAGCCACAGAAGACAGGCAGTGTTGGAACTCACCTTTCCCAACACTTAAGAAACAGAACTCTGTGAGTTCAAGGCCATCCTGGGCTACATTAGATTGATCCAGTCTAAAAGAGAAACAGAGTCAGGCAGTGGTGACTCACATCTTTCATCAAAGTGCTTTGGTGTCACACACCTTTAATCCCAGCACGAGGGAGATGGAGAATGAAAGGAATGTGGCTGGGAAAAGAGAGGAATATAAGGTGGGAGGAGATAGGAGATCCAGGCAGTCAGTCTGAGGTCTTGTAGAGACAGGATGCTCCATTTGGTCTGAGGATTTTGTCGAGGAAAGAACTAGTGTCTGGCTGCTCTGCTGTTCTGATCTTATAGCTCCAACCACTTAATATCTGACTCCAGATTTTATTATTAAGACCAATTAGAACTCACGCTACAATCATCTTCATGCAATGGAAGATACAGGTGTCTGTTCTCCTCATACAGTCCTATAGATCCAGTGCAATACCAACAGAACTCTAACAGACTTTTCATAAACTAATGGGCTTATCCTGAAATTCACAGTGAATATGGAGAACCCCAGCTTGAAACAACCTTATAAAGGGACAAACTTGGAGGATGAACACCTGACTTCCAAACTCCTTATAAACCTAGAGAATTGTAGACAGCGTGCCTGATTGGAAAAGACAATAAGACAGAAAAGAATATGAAGGGGACAGAAGAGTCACACATGTGTGAGGGGACACCTTTAGCAAAGACTCAAAGACACTTAAGTGAAGCAGACATTTGTGCTTCACCGAGTTTTTCTGGGACTCCCCATAGGTGGTAGGGAGGTACAGCCCAGCACAGTGACCAGCAGCCTGAGGATAACCCTGTCCCTTTGATGACCTTGACCCTGGTAAAGATGAATCTAGGATGCAGTAAAGAATTTCAGAAACAGCCAGGATGAAGCAAAGGTTGTGAGCTTATTAATCCTGTGGATAGAAGCTCACACAGAATTAGGATGGCTCCTGCATGATGGCCTGAGAGTGGACTGGAGAGAGACTTGAGATTAGGTGTCATTGCAAAGGGTATGTGAGGTGGGCAGGGAGGGAGGTACAGTGGGAGAGGGAGAAATGGGAGGATTTTTATGGCTCTCAAGTTACATTGCTGAAAGAATGTAATTCAGAAAATTTCAAGATTAAATTACATTAAAGCCTATATTCAGGTTTTTAAATTAACTATAAGAATATTTTTACTCTTTAAATGGGTTCTATTTTTCCATTAGGAAAAAAATATTCAATAGGTTATTAAAAAGTAAAAAATGAAAATAAAAAGCAATGCTTTTGAATGTGCTTATTCCTTTTAAAGTTTCTTTCAGTAAATTAAATTGTAAGGTGATTATGTGACTTAGGTGAGAGAATAGAGTGCTATCATCATCCATCTCAAGGCTACAAGTATTCTGCCCCTAAGTAAGCATAACTGCGTTTTTTATTTTCTGCTTTTGAATGCTTTTCCACAGGGAAGTCTGTGCACCACGTGAGTACCTAATAATGCCCACAGAGGGTGCCAGACTTTATGAGATCTCTCGGAACTGGAGTTACAGACAGTTGTGAACCATCGGGTAGGTGTTGGGTATCAACCCTGGATCCTCTGGAAGACATCCAGTGATATTAAAGAATGAACCCTATCTTCAGACTCTAGTTTATTTGTTGTTATTTTTAAACATTATTTGGGATGTCTTTAGGAATAGTTGCATCATATCTGCAGGTAATTTTGGCTCTATCAGTTGGCTTGAGGTTTCTTGAATGTCAGAAAAATGTAAAAACGATTACAGGGTGAGGGGCTGTGTGTTCCCTCTCATATCCCCTTCAATGCCCTGTCTTTCTGTCTTATTTTGGGACAAGCAGACCTCCCCATGCACAAATATAAATATAGACTATCGTATATCGCAGGATACAAAAGTCAATCGAGAATGAACAAATGATCTACACAGGACTAGAGAGACATCTCAAAAGTTAAGAGTGCCTTTTGCTATTGCAGAGGACCTGACTTCAGTTTCCAGCACCCATATGGTGGGTGACAGATGTCTGTAACTCCAGATCCAGGGGAACTGACAGTCTCTTCTGGTCTCAGTGGGCATCTGCACTCAAACGTGTATTTGGCACACAGAGACATACAGGCAGACCCTCAGTAAATAGGGAAAATAAACCTAAAAGAAGTCCAAATTACAACCTAAACATGAATCTTGTAGCAGAATACAATTGGATGTTCAGGTTCATGAATTACAAACAAACTTCTTAGATATGGCAAACCCCCTTTCATTAAATGAAGAACTGGAGTGTTACGAATTCCATAAAGTGAGAAAATATCTATTCTTCCAAATATATGATAGAAACATATTTTTCTTACCTGGGAAAATGAATGTGGGAAATTGTATATCAGATGACAGTCTTCTTGTATCCAGAATACAGAAAGCTTCTAAAGGAGACACTAAGAAAATAGACAATTCAGGAAATAAAACTTGACCAGAAGGGTGAGTAGATGCTCCACTCAGAGAAACATACAGCAGCAACATCCTTAACACTTAGGGAAGAGAGACAGGTTGTAGTAATAAGGGCGGCGGGGCTGCGTCCCCGGCACCCGGCCGCCCCCACGGCTAGCTTTACCCAAAATAATTACACGGAAACTGTATTCATTTAAACACTGCTTGGCCCTTTAGTCCTAGCCCTTACTGGCTAATTCTGTTATCCCGATCAACCCATCTCTAATAATCTGTGAGCACCGGTCTTACCGGGTAGATTCTAGGACGGAGCTTCATCTCGTGTGTCTGCCCAGGAGCGGGGCATGGCGTCTCTCTGAGGCTTCTGCCCCCGAGAGGAGAGCTGTGGAGTCTGAGCTCACTTCCTCTTCCTCCCATCGTTCTGTTCTGTTTACTCCTCCCACCTATCTTCTAACCAATAAAATGGGCCAAGGCAGTTCCTTTATTAGCCAATGACCTTCCTCCATCAACAGGTGACTCTGAGGGGACTCTAGACAACCCCATAAAATACTCAGAAATAAAGACTTGTCATACAAAGACCTGGCAAGTTTGTGGAGGATGACTCTCCCATACCCACTGCTGGTGGCCATGGAAAACAGGATGATAACTTGGAAAAATCTTTTTCTGTTTCTTCATATGTTAATTGTCATCTGGCCATCACAACCCAAATATATAACCTGGAGAAAGAGGACATATTTTCTTTTAAAGACTTATTTATTTCAGTTCACAACAGCTTTATATACAAGACACTGAAATTGAAAACAACCTCAGCAACAGGCAACAGGCAAAGACTCATTTCCCAAAACCAGCATGGCAGTTTTCAACTGTTAACTCCAGTGCCAAGGGATTCAATATCCTCTCTTGGCTTCCATGGGCAACAGGCATGCATGCGTTCTTCATACCTATATGTAGGCAAGCATATATACACATGAAATAAACTAAATTATAAAACTTGCCGTGTAGCTATACAATGCTACACTATTTAATATTAAGAATGAACAATTATCATGGGAAACAAAACAGATAAATTTAAACATATATTCAAGATGAATGAAGGCCAGATGTCTCTAAACTCTGGTTCTATCCTAATACATTCCAGCATATATAAATTTGTCTATAATATCAGATTGTTGTATTTTTCTGCAGACAGGGTTGGGCAGTGGTTGGGTATGAGAACCTAAGTAACATAAAGAAACTTTATGGATTGGTAAATAATAATGAAACTTATACCTACCTGAGTATAAGAAGATGTCTATTGTCATTATGGGGAAAAGTGGAAAA